CACTTCAAAATTTTAAATATTTCTATTTTTGAATGATTTATTATTGTTTATTCTTGTATTATTCTATTAGATACAAAGATACATTATTAGTTCATTGGCTGTCTCATACTGAAAACCACAGGATGAGTATTTCTTAGTATCACTTTTTGGTAGCAAGATGTCAGTGATCTTGACTGGAAGTAGTGGAGAGAAAGGAAAGAGATGTGATCAATGAAACAACTGGCTGGTCCTCAATCATAATATATGAGTGGCTGTTAGGCTGCTGCTGAAAATTGGTTCTAGATAATGGTGTGCTTATGATAGGAGGCACCTCTATGTTAGTAGTGTCGCCTTTCATTAGGATTGTCTCTATGTGACTTTGAATAGAAAGGTCTTATGAAATAATGTATTTATGTTTCTTTAAAACTAAGCTAAATTTTTCCTTTCCTTCCTGACATGTTCACTGTTGCAACTTTACTTATGGTTGATTGATTTCTTGATTAAATTAATATAGCTCTGTCATGAGTACAACTGACATGCTAAGTTTATGTTCTTGTTTGTGAATTTGACATCACATCTCATAAAAAAATCCATTCACTTGCTGTCTGTAGTGGTCTTCTGCTGTCTTCACTTTTTAAATTTGAGGCTTACTTAGTAATTAAGTTCTACTGTTTCAAAGTAACTTAGGGTTGTTTTCTTTAATAACTAGTGTTGACATCAAAGCATTAAAGTATGAAAGTAAATAAGTACTCAATATAAGGGGCTGTATACATGTTATGTTTACTTGTTGAGAAAATAAGTATATATTTTTTTTATTTACGTTGGCTTCAGCTGTTCTAGTAGCCTTAAATGTATTATTTGAAGAAAACATTGGTATAGACTATCAGCAGATGCCCATTTCTAAAAGAAGTTAAAGTATGCACCTGGTTAAACACTGCCTCTCAAAGGTAGAGAGTTCATATGTATGCCCATAATGTCCAAATAGAAATTGGTTTACATTTAGTATTCAGTGCCTGTGCAGTAAATCCTCTGCCCCTGAGACTTCCAGATGCCAAGCAGCCTTGTTGGAGCTACTCTGACAGTTATTTTGTGAAGCTTAACTTCAAGATGTAAAAAGAGTATATATCTGTGGAATACTGAATACAGGGTAAGCCAGCACAAAGTGAATTGCATAAGTAAATCTGTCTACTAATGCTAAATTGAGTTTTCCTGAAGCTACTTATTTCTGCTGTTTAACCAAGCCTCCCTCAGTATGTGTAAATAAAATTTTAATGAAAACTAAAATCTAACAGAAATAGGTATCACAAGCACACAAGACGCAAACCTGTTTCTTAAACATTGCAGCTGTTTCTCACAGATTTCCATAGTACTCCAGTTATGATCAGCGTTCTCTTCCAGGTTGCTATAAGGATCATTTCCAACTGGCTTGGCAGGTTTTACCATTCCTTTGCTGTTGGCAGCAGCACAGTTGAATTTGCCTGGACTGTTTTCAAAGTCTGAGGAAGGAATTTGTTGTGCATGTGCAGATCAGCTCCCAGTTGTGCAGCAGCTCCAGCACATCAGATCACTGGACCTTCTGTGCTTGTATGAGAGAACTGTGTTTCCTTAGGAATAATTTTTCTGAGGTGACTCATTTTTCTGAGCCAGCGATTTGGGAAACATCAGGTTTTTCTCACTTTCCAGACACCAGGTGATTTCTATGTGCATTATATCCAAGAGCTTGTTAACTTTCAGTAGAAAGGTAGGTCTGTGAGGAGAGGTAGGACACCTAACAAGACTATGTACTTTTTGTTGATGGGAATATCATCACAATGTTACAGAGGACTGAGCTGCTGAAACAGGAGCCAGATACAGGCGTCTTTAATGGTATTAATAGGATTTATTCTCCCCTGCCTAACTAATAATGCTTGTGTCCTCTTTAAATGGGTCCCTTATTCAGGTATAGGCAAGCTGGTATTGCTGATAGTGGTTCCAAGCCTGAGATGGTGAAGAACTTGCAATGGAACTCTCAGTTGGAGCTCTTGGGTGGCAGGATGCATGGTTCCAGTTTTCCCTGATCTTATTAGAAACAGAGTAGCACTGAACATGTGACAAAGATGTGTAAATGTGAGAAACTAGAATATGGTGGACTGGCTCCACAGTAAAATATGTCTGGCTGTTTCCCATTACTTCTTAATAGTACCTGTCCATTTTCTTCATGGCCCAGAGTGTTAGTTTATGTGTTCACATGATACAGGTCATGGTGTGACATACGGTGTCACACTCCAGGTGTCATATGAGAGGGGCAGCTGCAAGTGTATGACGTCATGTAGTATGTGCCACTGTGCTGTGACTGGAAGCATCTCTTCCAGTGAGAGTCTGGCGAGTGTGGACTTCCATTAAGAAATTCTGGTATTTCTTTTTTATTTCTTTAGCTCTGGCCTACTGTAGCTTTCTACAGGAAGTAGACAATTTATCATACAAATGCATTTGCCGTATTGATTTCTTTCAATTTATTGCAAGAAAAGACATTTATCATAATATATTTGGCTAACAGACTAAACTTAATTTTGTTTTAGAAAATGTAATTTTGAAGAAGGTCTTTCCTGTAATTTAAATCCTTCCAGCAAAACATACTTATGAAAATACTTCGAGTAAATATTCTTCTATCAGCAGTGATGCTAAGTCTCAGCTTCAGAAAGAGAGCCAGAAAAGAACAGTCATACTGAAACTCTTTCACCCTTTACATTAGATAATCCTTTCTGTTAAGAGCAATATCTTCTCTGTTGAGCAGTATTAGTAATAGTAGTTGAAAACAAGGCTAAACCAGGGTCTTCATTTTTAATAACGTCTTTCCATAAAAATATCAGGTTTGTTTTTTTTTTAAAAAAGGAAATAAAGAGATTTTTAAATTCTTACTGACTGAACAATGTAGAACAAGAAGTTTCATAAGTGGCAATATGTCTAGTCAGTGCTTCAATGGCATAATGCTTTCCATGTCATCATTCTTGCCACATAAGTATGCAATGTTACGTGCTCTCCCCACTCCAAATTTATTCTCACCTGCCTTTTCTGGAGGACTCTGCTCTTCAGGGTCTTCTTCCATCTGTGTAGCTTCTCTTTTATGTTTTTCTTTCTTAGCCATAAGAAGTGTTAAAGAATTTTCACCATTAACAAGGGCAGTTATGGCTCACACAAAATCACTCATACCTTTTATCACATGTAGTGGCCCTATAAATCTGCAGATCCATATATCAGAGCTGGAATTCTATCTGACTAAATGTAGACATCCACAAACTAGACATCTACACCCAAGCTAATCATCTTGACTGCTTTTACAGTCATTGAACAAAACCAGACACTTCTTGAGTACAATTTATGTCAGCCTTAAAGTGAAAGTATAAAACAAGTCAGATGAACAGAGACAAGAATAATTGGTTTAGATATAGAAAGATAAAACTACCTGAGATGAACTCTGGATCACAGAATCACAGAATGTTAGGAGTTGGAAGGTATCTCGAAAGATCATCTAGTCCAAGCCCCCTGCCTGGATGTCTCTACTTCTCAGGCGAGGGAGACTTTCCTGCTTACAGTGACACCTGCTAGAATTCTGAGCTCCAAATCAGAAGTCTTTGCTGAATTGTGCATAGTGATTTTCTTCTTCATGCTTATGACTGTCAAGTTCCTGTGCAGAAGTGTGATTGCACCACTTAGTCATTGACTTCTCCTAAGAACTGCAGCATTGAATCTCAGAAGTGTGTCAAGGTCTACTTTTTAGGAGATCTGACAAAAGATCTCCAAGATATTTTGCATTTATTGATCTGGTTGCCCTGAGACTTGCCATCTCCTATCAGTAAGGCTCTTGAGGCCTTTTGAGTACAGCTCTTAGCATAGATGTCACTGATCTGCACAGTCAGGGCTAAGTGCAAACATCAAAGTGTGATTCACAGTTTTCTTATCACTAATGAAGATTGATACATTATTCTCCTGACCACTGCATTTCTCTGTATTTCACATAATAAAAGTCAAGACTGTACTTCATATTCTTTACAGAAGGAACAGCATGTCATTTTGTTTTGGTAGGACCAGATTCTTCATACATTTCCTAGGATGTTCCAAGTCGAAAGCTGACAAATCTGGAGCAGTAATTATTTCCAAACAAGAAATATTGAAGTGCATGGTAGGAAGTTTTAAAGCCTGCTATAAGAGCTGCAAGAAGCAGCTTCCTTTTGTCACCGGTGCTGAAACTGTATGAGGGACTTTACTGAAAAATACTTTTGTGCTTTACATGTGCCAGGAAACTTTGCATTTTTTCCTGCACCAAATGCTATCATGACACAGAAGCATCCAGAGCTGACAAAGCAATTGTTTAAGCATGCATATAAACACCTGCAGGGAATTCTGGCTGTGTAGCTCCTCTTTGGAGTCACCCACTGTGTGGCAGTCTAGATGGATAGTATTGCAGGCATAGGAAGGAACCTGCGTAAATGAGAGTTCTTCAGAAACTGTAGTCAACTTTCCACTTCTCTCCAGAGTTGTTCAAGTATAGGGCTTCACTGGGAGCCTTGCAGTTAAGAGGAGAATCAAGTGACATAGGATTTGCTCTGCTCACTGTAGCCTTATGCTGAATATCAGCTTGGAGGGGGAATATAGTCACTCAATTGCAAGACTAATAATTTGTAGTTTTGAGAAACGAGACATCTGCATAATAATTGGTTCATGTAGTCAGCATGTAGTGTGTATTCAGCATGTGGTATGTAGTCAGGTAGACTCCACTGCTTGAAGAATTTAAAGTTGGCAGTGAGATTTTAATTTAAGGAAACACGTTTCTGTCTTACTTGGTCATAGCAAGATGATGTTTTTAATTTACCTAGGGAAGAACTTTCCAGTTTAGATAGGTCCTGGTTTAGATATGAAGGGTATGGGTCATCCATATATCCTGTGTGAAGTTTTTGGGCACATTAGAGCATCCCAAATGACTCTGCATATGTAGAAGGGCCAGTTAAACTGAGCGCCTTATGTCTAAACTGTTTGGAAGATAAATGGTTTTGGACTTCATCATGAACATCGACAACACTCAACAAAGAGTAGACACATACGATGTAGGTTAGATTCAAATTACTTAATGCCTTTTAAAAGATAATTAAGTACCATATTTCTACCATATTTCTGGGTAGAAGAGCTGTTCTAAGAAGCAAAAAATACACAATCAAACATTAAAATAGAAAGAGAATGGAAACTAACTGGAATTCCTTTAAATATACACTGTCATTCAAGGTTTCCATCACTATGGGAGTTTCCCATTGCTGTGGGTTCCTGGATGGAGAAGAAGAAAAGCTTTTCCTTGCCTATTTGGGTTTGGCTAAAAAAACATACTAAACATCAGTAAGCTTACAAAGATTTCAGCTTAACACCGTTTATACAAAAAGGCTAGATCACTGATGTGATTTTTCTCCCAGTGTAATTTGTCCATGCAAGCTTTCCATACACACTTAAAGCTCGCTGACATTAATAAGAGCAGACCTCACATATGTCCTTTCTCACATCCAGCTGCACTCCTGAACTCATGAGGCAATCTGAGTGCTGTTATAATGACATTAACTAAGGTTGTATCTTGCTTAGTAATACATTAGTTCCTTTTTCTGTGAAAGATGGCTTTGATATTATATGCTTATATAATTTATCAACAAGGTGACATTTTTTCCTGAGTCATATCTGCTGCACATCCTAAGTGCACATATTCTCAATAACAAAGCATCTGCTGTTGTGGAAGAGAAATATCTAAGAGACCAGCAAGTGCATTCTCTGGTAGTCAGAATTAAAACTACAGTGTCTTTGTTATGGAAACATTATGGTTTAACAGTTTTTC